TACTTTATTTTATTTTTTAGAGAAAGAGTGAAGGAAATAGAAAGAGAAAGAAAAAGAGAAATAGAAAGAGAAAGAAAGAGAAAGAGAAACATCGATGTGAGAGGGAAACATCTATAGGCTGCACTCTGCATGCCCCCTACTGGAGATCGAGCCCCATTCTAGGCACTACCTGGCTGGGAATGGAACAGGGAACCCTTCAGTGCATGGAAGGATACCCACCCAAGATTGCTTTGGCTATAAGGGGTATAATGTGGTTCTATATAAATTTTAGGATTATTTCTTCTAGTCTTGTGAAAAATGCCATTTGTATTGATGGGGATTGCATTGAACATATACACTGCTTTGGATAGTATGAACATTTTAATGAAGTTAATTCTTCCTTCCATTTATTTGTGTCTTCTTGAGTTTCTTTCTTCAATGTCTTATAATTTACTGAGTATAGGTCTCTTACCTCCTTGGTTAAACTTATTACTAGGTTTTGCAATTGCAAATGGTATTGTTTTCTTAATTTCTCTTTCTGGTAGTTTGTTATTGGTATATAAAAATGCAACTGATTTTTGACTATTAATGTTGTATCCTGCTATTTTGTTGAATGTATCAGTTCTAAAAGTTTTTTTTTTAATTGATTTTCAAGAGAGAGGAAGGGAGAGGGATAGAGATAGAAACATCGATGAGAAAGAAAAATCTATCAGCTGCCTCCTGCACACTCCACACTGGGGATCAAGCCTGCAACCAAGGCATGTGGCCTGACCAGGAATCGCACTGGTGACCTCTTGCTTCATAGGTTAATGCTCAACCACTGAGCCACACCAGCTGGGCTCCATTGATTATTAGGGAGTGGAAGGAGGAAAGAAGGGAGAGGGAGGGAGGGAGGGAGGGAGGGAGGAGGAGGAGGAGGAGGAGGAGGAGGAGGAGGAGGAGGAGAGAGAGAGAGGAGAGAGAGAGAGAGAGAGAGAGAGAGAGAGAGAGAGAGAGAGAGAGAGAGAGAGAGAGAGAGAGACATTGATGTGAAAGAGATACATTGATTAGTTGCCCCTAGCATGCACTCTGACGGACTGGAAATTGAACCTGCAACCCAGGTATGAGCTCTTGACTGGGAATTGAACCCTTTGGTGCATGGGCTGATGTTCTAACCCCTGAAGAACATAGGCCAGGGCTCTCATTGTGTTGTTGTTGTTTTATATTCCTCACCCAAGAATATGCTTAGAGGAAGAAAAAGGGAGAGAGAAAAAAAATTGATGTGAGAGAGATTTGATCAGTTGTGCGGGATTGGGGATTGAGCTCACAACCTGGGTATGTATTGAACTGGCAACCTGCTTGTACCACAGATTTTTGGGTAACCAGCTGAGTCACTCTGGCTAGGCTCTGATGGCTCTTTGGCGTAATCTTTAGGATTCTCTCTATATAATATGTCATCTGCAAATAACATTTAAAAATACTTTGATTTTTTACAGAAAGGAAGAGAGAGAGATAGTTAGAAACATCAATGACAGAAAGATATCGATCAGCTGACTCCTGCACTCCCCCCACTGGGGATGTGCCTGCAACCAAGGTACATGCCCTTGACTGGAATTGAATCCGGGACCTTTCAGTCTGCAGGTCGACGCTCTATCCACTGAGCCAAACTGGTTTCTGCAAATAACAACATTTTTACTTCTTCCTTTCCAATATGGATGCCTTTTATTTCTTTTTCTTGTCTGATTACTGTGTCTGGGACTTCAAGTATTATGTTGAATAGGAATGGTGGACATCCTTGTCTTGTTCCTGACCTTAAAGAAAAATGATTTTAGCTTTTCCCCAGTGAGTATGATATTAGCTGTGGCCTTTATTATGATGAGGTATGCTCTGTTTACTTGCACTTTGCTGAGAGTTTTTATCATAAATAGATGCTATATTTGTCAAAAGCTTTTTCTGCATTTACTGATATTATCATAAGATTTTTATTCTTCATTTATTTGGTGTGTCACATTAATTGATTTGTGAATATTGAATCAACTTCGCATTCCAGGAATAAATCTCACTTGATCTTTTTAATATATTGCTGAATTCGGTTTGCTAATATTTTGTTGAAGATATTTGCAATTATTTCATCAGGGATATTGCCTATAATTTTTTTTGTAATGTCTTTGGTTTTAGAATCAGGGTAATGCTGGTCTCATAAAACGAACAGAGGAGCATTCCCTCTGCTTCAACTTTTTAAATAGTTTGAGAATAGGTGTAAATTATTTAAGAATACTTGGTAAAATTTACCTATGAAGCCATCTGATTCAGGACTTTTGTTTGTTGGGAGTTTATTGATTACAATTTGATTAGTAGTTACTGGTCTGTTCAGATTGTCTGTTTCTTCTTGGATCAATCTTGAAGGTTGTGTTTCTAGGGATTTATCAATTTCTTCCAGATTGTCTATTTTGAAGTAGAAAGAAAGCAATCTGTGACCCTATTTCTTATTATCCTGGTACTAAAAAGATGCTAGCCACAGTCTCCTCAGTTGAGACCGTGTAATGATGGACCTGTGTCCCCATCCCCTTTCTCACAGCTGTGAGGCCGTCCATGCCGGGCTCAGGCGCAGGCTGTGCTCTGTGGCCCTCAGGGCAGACACCGTCCTGGGGCTGGCGCTTGCCCTGCCGCCACTATGCAGCCCAGTGGCCTGTTCCTTTAAGGTGACTTGCTCCCCGTGTGAAGGCAGCTGATACCCTCTTTCCCTAAAACCACAGGCTAGGGGGTCTTTTGAGGAGGACTCTCCTTTCCATGAAGCCTGGGGTGGGGGTGTAATTGTGCCTGGGCTTCCTTGGCAAGATGGCTCTTCACCTATCAGGCAGGTTTTGTGAAGCATTTCACCTGACTCTGCGCCCCTCCCCCTCAACACACACACACACACACACACACACACACACACACACACAGAGTTTTTCATCTATTTTTCTGAACTCAGTAGGTGCCTGAGGACATAAGTGCTCAGGTTGTGATCCCTGTCATTAAATTCCTGATCTGGGTAGAGGCATTCCTGTGGGCGCTGGGTGGAGCGTTCCCAGGGGAATGGGCTGTCTAGGCAGCAGCATGAAGCAAGCACTGCGCCCCTGCTTCCCTGGGCCTGTTCAGGTTGTGTCTCTATCTGAACAGGATCCTGAGGGCAGCTCTGAGAGACGATGCAGCAGAAGAGACCTGGGTAGAAGCCAGGGTCTGCTCTCTTTCCCATCACAGGTAACCACCCTCGCTTGAGCTGTCATGAAGCTCTGGTGACCCTGCAGTGTGGAGGATGGTGTGCCCTCTCCCTCTGTGCTCCTTCCCAGCCCTGGCTACTGCCCATCAGGTCCCACCCACCACACTCCCCGCCCCCAGCCTCCCTGCTACCATGTTTCCCTGAAAATAAGACATCCTCCGAAAATAAGACCTAGCGCAAGGAAAGATAAGACATCCCCTGAAAATAAGACCTAGCGCAACTTTGGGAGAAAAAATTAATATGACATTGTCTTGTTTTCGAGGAAACAGGGTAGGATATAGGCCTGAAGACCCTCCCCTCAGCCACTTGCAAAGGTCCGGTTGTCCACCCCTCTCCCTTCTGTAGCAGCCATGGCACTCTGTGGGACCCTTCGGGCAGGAACAACTCCCATGGGGGCTGCTCCCTGGCAGGTGTCAGTGGGACGACGGACCTGGGGCCCAAGCAGGGCAGACAGAGGCCAGGCCAGGCTGCTGCAATGTTCTTTCTTATCTTTGTCCCCACCCCTCTCATTTTTATATCAGGAATCAGTCCCCACACACTTACCTCTTGCTAGAACATCCTCCTCACCAGCTGAGGAGGAGAAACTAATTGAAATCCTGGAAGAGCTGGCGCAGAGATTTAAATAGGCCAGGAGCCAGAAAACATGAGAAGGTGCCGAGCAGGGACAAAGCACACTTCAGTTCCCCTTCCCCCCAAAGATGCCGTTACAATGAGGAGCCTACAAGGGGTGTAACTTTTAAAATAAATACGACTATGGTTGGGAATAAGCTAGCCTTCATCTTCCAGGGTTTCACACAGATTCTCTTCCTGTGTCAATCTCTCATTTATCTGAGAATGTGATTTTCTTTAGATTTTTGCATTTAAGATGAACCCACACTGTCAGTGTGAGGGGAGCAGAGGTGGGAGGAGTGAATGCACTGTGCATCAGCAGAGGGCGTAACCAAGGGACAGTGGCCATTTACATAAACAAATTACATGAGGCCTACTTTACATTTGCTTAAGATTAGGGGTGGCTTCAGTAATGCACCTAGCATTCTAGTGCTACGGTTAGATAAAACCTCTAAATTACAGCATTTTACTTGTTAGTGACTTCAGGGAAAGTTGTAACAAACCATGGACAGATTCAGAATATATTGACACACCTTCTTGGTGCTCAAGGAGACACACACATAACTGACCGCCCACAGCGGAGGGACACCCAGGTGCTGATTCAGGTTCTCAGCAAGAAGCCCAAGGAAGGGGTTTTCTGGGTGGCTCTGCTGGAAAGGCCAAGCAAGCATGGACTCCACTCGACTGCACCTCTTTTTCTGAAGGAGGAAAGCCGGGCCTCGGGAGGCTTCGGGGCACAGGTGGGCTGAGGGAAGGGCGACACCAGGGGCAGGGGCTGAGGGTGGAGTGCTTCCCAGCCAGCCCACTCACTGGCTGTTGGACATTATGCAGACTGTTGACTTCTTCCCGCCTACTTTCCTGTCCATAAAATGGGCCTAATGATGTCAGAGAGGCCTTCCGTGGCTGTCTTTGCCCTGAAGCCCTTTGTCCTCACTTGGAAAGTTTAACTACAGGTAACAGAGGACATAACAGGGACTACATGCTACAGCCCATTTACTGTGTTCAGAGTCTGGGGTGAATGGTGGCTCACCTCTGCCACTGCTCTCCTAGGGGTCCTGACAGCTGAGCCAGAGACCTACCCCCACCCCCATGGTTAACCCCAAAGCAGGTTGCTGGGGTGTACATGCCATGTGCTATAGCTGGACAGCAGCAATGATGAGGCCACAGATAGTTTCCACAGATATTTATTTTAAACCATGGAAGCGACTTTGCGTTGCTAACGTACATTGGTAATGGCGACACATACAGTTCAGTTGGAGGGAAGCACAGTGGGAAAGTGAGCAGAGTTTAGATACATTCCCAACATTCAGCAGCATCTGAAGTAGAACTGAATAGACATTTTAACACTGTAGGGAATCCCTGCTCAGTCCCACTTGATCACATTCAGGAAGTCAATGTCAAGGCTGCTCGGTTTGGTTGATAGAATCAGTGACAGAAACCACATTTGAGAAATCTGTTCTATCTTCAGGCTTTTTACATCTTCAGCTGGATCCCTTGGAGAATCTCACTTCAAAAAGAAAAAAAATATCCTCAAGTAACATGCCCGCTGCAGCCCAGCTCTGGCGTGACCACAGACCGCGGGCGGGCAGAGGAGAATGTCCACGCCCCTGGTTACGGCTACAGGGGTTGACAGGCATGAGGTGGGGCTAGCACCTTCCCTGTTGTACAGTTAATAACAGTCTTACTTTTCATAGGTTTTCTTTCACAAAACAGTACATTGAAAAAAAAAAAAGTCATTTAAAAGCAAGGCAAATGGCATAAACACAATATACATGAGAGTACAATGGTTACCAATAACACAGTATTTTGGTCCATACTTCATATTGGTGTATGGTACTGACATAAGGTTGTCATCCATTTAAATGGGAAAAAAGTGTATGTAAGTGAAACACTTTCTCCCCTGCAAACCATTTCCCTTTCTATGTTATAGTTCTCCCTCTCATGTTTTCCAGAGAACCAGGAGGGGAAAAGGGGAGGAGGAAAGAATCATGAATATCAAGGCCAGATTCTAAACTTAACCTTTTTTAAACCAACCTGTAGTCCCTGACACTTTCTTCCAAATAAAGTCAGATACACTTTTGACTCATAAACATGAACATTTTAAGGCAGAACAGAAGACAAAGATGTTGCAATATGCTCCCATTTATCTGAGCTAAGTCAGTCCCGAGGTTCGGCCACTGACTCCATGACATTCATGGAGTCACAGGATCTTGGGCCTGGAAGGGTTCCTAAGGACAATCATCAAACTCCACCCTCATTCTGGGCGTAGCCTCCTTCCCACATCACAGACAAGGGGCCATACAGTCTCCGTTCCCCGCCTGGGAAACTAAAAGGAGGGATCCCATTCCAACTTTGGACAGATCTAATTTTTAGATATTTCTTTGGTATGTTAGGCCTATATATGCTTCTCGGAGGGAAGGACAACATTTAAAGACAAAATTAAGACCCCTCAATCAGTAGTATATGATACATGGTTGTAAAGTTAAACTTGAAATATGAACATGCATGTTCTGAAACTAACTTATAGACATATGATACTTGGGTACTGAAGGTCAAAGGCAAATGGAAGGAACAGCAGGAACTAGAAAGTGCCAAGCCCCGCAGTGAGAGGTGGGGTACCCCTGCCTGACAGCGCCCCTTTCACTGTCACTGCATTGAGGAAAAAGTTCCCTTCTGCTTGGAGAGGGCCATGCCAGGAGGATTTATCACCTTGGCCACACTGCACTGAGACAATGCTGCTTCTGTACCAAAGGCTTGGCTCTGCATGTTAGTGTGGTGCCAGCTGTCTAGAACAATCTCCTCCTGCTCAGGTCAAGGTCATTCCTTTGCAACGGGGAGAAGCTAGCTCAGCCCACTTACATAATTGTGCCATTAGATCCCTCCAGGCCATGTCCATGCATGGTCTCTGGCTCTATCCGCCTCAGTGACTCCAGCGAGCTGCCGTGTACCCGGAAGTTCAGAAATTAGTTACCATGGGTCTTTTTAAGAAAACAATTCTAGGCATTTCCAAAGAAAAAGGAACTCTGATACTAGCCTGGATGGCAGGAAAATCTTGTCTCTAACACTGATGAGCCTCTAGGTAAACACACGCCTCAAAGCCAATATGTGTGGCCTCCCTCTCTGCAGCCAGGAGCATCTGTGTCTCAGAGTGAGGAGAGCACAGGCTCCAGGACTGCGGCCCGGAACTTGATATTTTTTGGCAACTGCAAACCACCGATGCAGCAGGCTGATGCCAGATCATGGGCCTTTGTTTCTGCAGGCTGGAAAGTCATTTCCTTCTTCAACTCACCAGTCAGCTCGCTCCCAGATCAGCAAAGACTTTCCTCAGCCAAGTCCCTCTGGCCCCACCCACCCTGAACTGAAATGGCCCATCTCCACATCTGTGTGGCCTCCGCTCTGGGCCGGAAATGGACCTTGTCATCCCAGGCCCAGTTCCAAGCCTGGCAGAGAGGGAGCCCTTATCAAATGGTTGGCCGAAATGGACTGGAATCTCAAGGATTATCCAGATAACTGAGCATTAAAAAGGAACTTAATTTCTGTGTTTTACAATCAAATTGCTAGGTATCCATGCTTTCACATCAGGAAAAATTTAACTTAGCATTATTTAACTTAGCAAAATGCTTCCTTTCACTTTAAAATGTAAATTTTAGCGAACAAGGGCTTTATACAATAAATTATATGAAAAGGCAAAAAGTGTCATTTGATGAATATTTATATTCAGTAACTTTGATACATAGTTTAGAGCTATCTCTTTGCTTAAAAGTCAAAACTCAGGCTTTAAAAATAGATTAATGTTAAGCAAAAATAAATTATGTTTTAAAAAATTAATCTCAAAACATGTAATGTTCCATAGGAAGGGCAAATGCTGTAGGCCCAGCAACTCACTCAAGGCCAACTTGTTATGAGTCTTCACACAACTGGGCTGGAGGTGCACTTACAACGTCCCTGGATTTCCACTTAAGTATTGCCACTGTGCAGTCTGTGGGGAAAGTGCAGGGACGTTTATACTGACGAAGACCTGCAATAATTGCCTTACTACATGGTACCCCTCTCCCCCCATAAACACAGGGTCAAATCTGCTCCATAAGGAACAAGCCTGGTTCCCCAGGAGCCCTGTCTCAAGGCACTGAAGTCGCTCCCCTTGATTGTGCCATTACCAGGTAATGTTCAAAAGCAATTTGCTTGAAAATCCTTCTTTTAGATTCTCTTGTTTACACCTCAGCTAGTCTAAAGCCTGGTAGAACTAGTGCTTTGTGCATGGAACATTCTAGATCTCTGAAGATCCCTTCCAGTTTCATGATTTTATGATTCTTTGAATAATTCAAACAAATATATCATGGTTGACTGACCTCATATAAAAGACACACAACTTCAAGGGCTTAATGTAAAACCACCTTTGCTACTGTGGAGACATACAGGCAGTTAAAGGTTCCAGTAATATAGTTTCTTTGGAGGAACTGAGAGCACGTGATTGGTTTGATCCTACCAAAGAAAGAACTATGTGCAGTTCTGCCACTTTCCCAACCCAACAGAGCCATGTAGGCCTCGCCTGCCAAGCTCTGTGTGTCGCAGTAATACAGACAAAGGCATGTAAAGTGCAAACCCAACAGGGCAAAGCAAGAACCAGGACAGTCCACCTGGACGGGGGGAGGCAAGTGCGGAGCAGCTTCCTCCCTTGGGGATGGAGCTCCATCTCCCTAAGACGCCGGGGAAGACACCCAACACCAGCACACAGATCGCCGAGTTACAAAAACGTGAGATTCAACATAATTCACAGTATTACAAACAGACAAATTCAAGCACCCATTTACTTGAGGAGAAAGAAAAGGGCAGAAAAATGGATACCCTGATATAGCTGTGGTTTGTGATTGCAGCTCTCTCACCAATGAAGTGTCAAGTGGTTTCAGTCTCCGAGTGGCTCTATGGGCTGGGGTACAGCCACACTGGGAGGGAGATGGCCACAGTGACGTGCAGGGTCACAGACACAGACACCGAGGTACACGTGTGATCCCACAGGGACAATCACCTTCCCAACGGGGTGTGAGTCATCCAGACCTGACCAGGCCCATGCCTTTCTAACACTGTGTCTTCCTCTCTGCAATTTCCAAAAGCTGGAAAACAGTGTTCCATCCCTGTTATTCATTTCCAACATAGTTCTCCATTATGTACAACTTAGCAATGGCTGCAGGTTCTAGTAATCAATTACAAAACAGACACCTGGATATTTTTATTTAATTCCCTTTTTAAAGCTCTCTCATAGAGCAATCATGCAGTAAGGACTCTGACTTTAACAGCTTGATGGCAAGCAAGGTTAATGTGGAAGGGGCCAATGAAGGGACAACTGGTAATCATTTCTGTGCACACACACGCGTGCGTCTGAGCTTAGGGATGGTCAGTGGGCTGGCCTGATGTCTCGGGTGATGACTGTTGTGCCCAGTGGCTGACGGGGAGCACCGATGCTGCAGCAGTCACTGTGGGAAGCTCCTTCCGCAGGAAGCAGCTAGGTCAGTGTTAGGGGTGGTTCCAAAGTATGGTTTGTAGTTCTTTTGGTTAGAAAGAAAAGTAATCAATGATCATGAGTGAAAAATTTGCTTTCTAGTAAAGGAGAAAAAAACCCAGGAGGATTTAAAATACTACCACTAAAAAATGGTCAAATCAGAAGTGAACAGGAGACGGTGGAGGTAGAACTTAGAGAGAATGGGCAAGTAATTGGGCTGTTTACCTGAAAGTTTTATTTAACCTGATAGTAATCCCCAAGAGTTAGCGATTCCCACAAAACCCCCCAACAGGTGAGGGTTGAATGATGTGATAACATGTAATGAGCTTAGAATGGGGCAGGCACATAGTGCATGCTTGCCCACTCATTTAAATTCTACTTTTATAGGTGAGAATAAGATTTTTTTTTAAAGGAATTCATTATTGTGAGTTGAATCACTAAAACACAGAATATTTCACTTTTATCAAATTTGATTAGATTCCCTTAAAATCAGAGTTCTTCACACTGATTTTCTAAAGCCCCTTTTTACATTTCCAACAGGAAGACATGAGAGCTGTAAGATTCAGTACCTTTTATGTCTCAGACCACACAGTTTAGTATAAGTGTTCTAGTTTTTAAAGGGGGAGAAAATACAGATGGTGAGGAAGAGAACAGGATTCAACCTCACATAACGAACATGGTCAAGTTCAGAGGTGATGTCTCACATAAAAACTAGCTTAAAACACCTTTTTTTTTTTTTAGGACATAATGTTTTGTTCGTTTTTAATACAAGTGAGGGAGAGCTATGTCAATAAAACTAAAACATGAAAGTCTCAGAAGGCTCCAATTGAATTAGAAACGATCCAGGCACTGATACTTGAAGCTCTGAGTTATAATCATCTACTCCCATGCTGACAATGGCTGGGAACAGCTTTCTCAAGGCATTTTTTTTTAACATGGGAAAGACAGAGAAAACTGAGGAAGAAACACCAGGTCATTTCTACTCGATATAAGAACATGAATAAGTTAGACATTACAATCGTTCTTCAGGTGATTCAAGAAGTCAGTTGGTAAGTCCATATGAATGGTTTTCCGAATCTCTCAACTGAAGAGGATTTCTGGGAAAGCAGAAACACTGTTTATAAGCAGGTAAATACATACACTCTGGTGAAAGCAGATGAAGGTGAGAGTAGATACATAGAGAAGAAAAAATGCTGACCTGGCGATCTGTGCCCAAGTGAAAACATGGAAACTGCATTAAAATGACCAAAAATACCCTGAACAGACATTTCCCTCATTTCTCCGACACACAAAGCAACAACTAAAATGAAGTATTGAAAATATAAAAATTAAACACTCCACAGAGTTTACAGTATACTCAAACAATGCAGCAAGCCAGATTGTACAAACCATTTGTTAAAAAAATATCTTCTTTTATATTGTATGAACAAGTTGAAAGAGTCCCCTCCAAGTGTTCATTCTCCGGCTCACCACTGTGCGCAGGTAATATGCAAACTCAGCTAGTTTCCTTAGTTTCTCTCTTCTCACACGTCTGCTTTACAGCTCCGTAACGATTTGGATTAGAACCATCATTTCTTGAGTAAACACTATCTTTCAGATGCCTGGGAGTGTCATCAAGATACTACTGGGGTCATATCCCACAACTGTCAAAAGAAAAAGAAGATATACAATGAACTAGAATTACATTGTGTTGATGATAACCAGTCCTTATAATTAAATTCCAGTAAATTTTTTTTAAATTTAAGAAGCAACTAATTATACTAACATGATTCTGAAATCTTTAAAATAGTATTTTCCATCAAAAAGTACTATAACATAAACCTCAAAAGCAGGACCACGGCAGCTGGACATTTTCATCCGGCTAATGGAGACTAAAAGCGATTAGAGCCATTTAAGGGGGAGGGGAACTAAACTATAGTAGGCAGCAGCAAATGGGTGCCCCGGATTGCTGTGTCCTTTCAATATCTTATCACTTTTAAATTTCCAAAAATTCAAGGGGTCCATTTTAAAAAATAAAGGATCTGAGTCTCCAGAGTTTATTTTAAACTTGCTTAAAGTTTCAGAGACGTGGCGACTTCCAGAAGGGGTTATTTAAACCAACGTGTCCTGCTGTTGCCTCTAAGGATGGGCCAGAATGGGCCTGGGGAGCAGAGCTCAGTGCACTGCGCAAGCCTGTGCTGTATGCCTGTGTGTCTCTCAGAAAACGAGGCAGGTGTGGCCTTCCATCGGGACCTCTGCTGTGGTCCTCAAAACTGACTAGCTGCTCCTTGCAGGAAGAGCATGTCTTATGTTGGTGTGCACACCAGGACCTGGCATGGGCCGTGTATGTAAATGCTCACTGCCACGGGAGCCCTTCCCAGCAGGTTTCACATAGCCGCGGTGCTCCTGCATATCACACAGGGCCTAACTCGGAGAGCTCCTACGTGGGAGCGTCCTACCTTAATAACCTTGTCGGTTCCCGAAGTCAGCAGCCATCCCCGGGTTGCATCGAAATGCACGTGCACAATGTTGTGTTTACTGTCGTGGAATGTGGCTGTGGGCGCTCGTCTGGAGGAAGCAAAGAACGTTTCCAAGAGTGAGAAGTCATGACATGGGAATGAAAGATATCTAGAGTGACATTAAACTCTAATTTTTAGCCTAATGGCTAAACAGCCTCACTGTTAGGAATGTTGCTCAGATCTACCTTTATTCCCTGGTGACCTGGTAAAAAGTTTTTTTAAATAAAGGATTCTGATATTCTCCAAAATGGGAAAGAGTTTCAAAAGTCCCTAGAGCCTATGAAAATCTCTGTGTTTTTTGACAAATTAAAAAAGAAAACAAAATACCTCAGTGCTTTGGCTAAGTCTGATCTCAGGACTTGCTGGTAAAATACTCTACCAAACACTGTTCTCTGTTCTGCAGCTTTTTAATCTGTGCATATTTTTCAGTAAGAAGGTCTGTCAGCTGCCCAGGGTCTGAAGGCAGGAGAAGAGGCAGAGCAGTGAGGTGGGAGAGGCGGCAGGGACATGGAAGGAGAAAGCTTTTCCCCAATGTCCCAGCGGGCTTTCTGAAGACGTTTGTTTTCTACTTTTAATCTACAACTAAATCTATTAGATCTTCAGCATAACAAAAGTGGTTACTTTAAAATATTTAGAATTAAGGATTTAGGTTTAATTTGCAGACCCTTAGATCTTCTAGGTCTGTGTCTTTATATATCTGTAAAATGAGGAATTAGGCTGGAGTATCTCTAAGATCACACGCAGCTCTTTAATGATAACTAATATTCATTTCATCATGAATGATGAGTGGAAAATAATCAGTGAACAGAAATACTTCTGGAAGGGCATTTTAATTTATATATGATACAGATAAATAATAATGGAAAGCACATAAGTTAGAGTTATTTGTAAAAGAATACTTTATTAATTTGCATGAATTCCCTTTAAATGCTCATTTACTCTGGTGCATTTTAAATGTTTCTATTTACATGCATCTTTTAAGATACCCATCTAGTGCTTACATGGTCTTACTCTATACAAGGCGCTGGAAGTATGTGGGGGAGGGGGCATTAGACAGCCCTTTTCCTATGAAATTCTGCTGTAATTCACTAAGAGGAAAACTTGTTGCAGAGCATTCTGTTTATTTGGGGCAGTTTTTATATTCTGTATACTCATTTTCTTGAGAAGTGCTCAGGAATTCAGAGTCCAGAAGTCACTTTTTGGGGCAGTTTTTAATTAGCCAACACTAAAGAGACAGCATAGATTTGTCCCACAGACTAAGCACAGACACAGCTACCTAAGGTCCTAGGTTTCTGGGCAAGACTGACCAGCCAGACTTAGTAGTTGGGCAACTGGTAGCATTTGTTTCTTAGGTAAAGTGGCTTAGTTCTTCCTGGAAAATGAAACCTGTAGAGCAAGCATGTCAAACTCAAAGGCTAACAGGCCAAATAAACAAGGTTTAAGTTTATGTGGGCCACAAAAAAACAAAAGCTTCAATTTTCAAAGAAACGTAGGTTTATGTCGATAGAGACATGCTGAATACAAAGGGCTGAAATAAATGAGTAAACGTTAACATAAAATAATAGAACACTTTAATAAAAAATAATATTTTTTCTTGAACATTAACTTACCAGACACTGAGTAACTGCACAAATAAGTGTAACACAAAAAAACCTATTTTTCTTGTTCTCTGAAAATGAAATATTTCCTATTGTGCATGCCAGACAAGTCAGTACAAGACTAATGACATGGCAATTGGCTGCTACAATATTTGCTGCTAGTATTAGTGGAGAGAAATGGTGTACCTGCATGTAAGGCGAATAAGGGAAATGAATGCAATGCAATTATAGTAATCAGTCATTAGTAAACGTTGTAGATCGTTATTAATAATTTTGTATAACAGGATATTGTAAAAATTAGGTTACAAAATTTTTATTAAAATGTTTCTTATATACCATTAAAATGGCTGGGCTGCAAAAATATTCATTGTGGGCCACATGCAGCCAATAAGCTGCGAGTTTGACATGCTTGCTCTAGAGCCTAGGGCTGATTTGGCTCCCATGAAAGATACCTGCTTGGGCTAGAAAGTGACTCCTGGACTCTGAACTCCTGAGCACTTCTCAAGAAAACGAGTATCCAGAAGGCTCTGCTTGAAGAACACCTATTTGCAATGCACATACCCCCGTGCTGAGTAGAGCACAGGGATGCATTCTCTGTGTGTACTCTTCCCTCCCAAGTCAGAGAGAACACAGTCTAACCCAGCAGGAGCGAGGGCACAGCAGTCGCGCCCGCGGTGCGGGGTGCAGCTCCCGTTCACATCTCTCCTTCACCCTGACAATCTGCTGGGACTCACTCTTCATCCGTGATGGCCTCGTGGCAGCTGTCGCAGACCCTCACTTCAAACTCAAAGCCCATCAGGGGGATGGAGGAGCGTTTGGAGCTGCACTTGCCGCAGACGGCCTTCCCGCACTTGCGGCAGTGGTGCTGCGGAGAGAGAACCGGGACTCGTCAGGCGGCTCCGGGTATGCTCAGCGGTGATCGACAGCAGTTAGCTGAGGATGCTGAACAAGGCTGCCCCCCAAACTGAAAGGGACACACCAGTCGTGTTTATTCAGAATGAGGACTGCTGGGAAACACATCTGACTGCCTCCTTACCCCATTCTAGGTCCTCTGGTTATCATCATTATAATTTCTAGAGAAACACCCAGCAGGCAGATTATGGTACAGCTGAGTGTAATGAGGAAGTGCCATCTCCTGAGATTATGCTGCCTCACGAAGGAGAATTGGAATGAACCCTGCTTCAATCCATTGTCTGTACTCTAGCCACGCCTGATCTAGGTGAGCAATGAAATCAACTTCTGGTGTTTTAAGGATGACCAAACCCAAGCATGGAATCAGACTGAAATGTCATTCTATAAGTAGATCCAAATAACAAAAACTAAGACAAAGGACCATCGAAATTATTAAGAATTAATAAATACCACTTCTATAATTGCATGGTTTGGTACCAATATGAGCTAAAGCATAATCCCTCTAACTGTAAGGTATATTTCAATAAGTGCCAGTAGAATTCTAAAGTCCTATCCCTTAACTACTTACTGGGGACAAATCTCTATAAAACTGAATCCAGTAGAAATGAGCTATAGCAGATAAAGGGAACAAATTAATGCACACTCACAAAGAGATGCCATGATAATAATTTACCCTTATTTCTTCTAAGATCACAAGGTAAAGTTATTTCCACACTATTACATTTTGATGAAGCAGCCATATCACTCACCTGTCTTAGGCCAATTTTCCTACTGTCCCACATTTGCTTGAAGTTCCAGAAGAAAGGCTGATCACACTTTTGGCAGGAGTCACTGTCCAACCATTCAGGGGTCTTGTCAAATAAAACACACAGCAGGTCACATTGAGAAACAGTAACCTAACGTTACTTAATATAAGGTACACTGATGAAACAGAATCAGAATATGCTTATAAGAAACAGAAGCACAATTTCTCACGCTCATTTGGTTTTTACTCTTGCTGTTTCTTTTCCTGGTCAGAGCATGTTCAGACCCCATCAATCTTTAAGAGCTATGTCCTTCCACACACCTTTCTCTGGGAACATCAGATGATAATAGTAACATCCCTTCCTAAATATCCAGGACTAATACCCTATCTTACGTCTACTGCAATTAATTCATTTGTGCCATTTCATAGTTTTCTGAAGTTTTCTCTCACATGTCTTTTCTTCTAGAAAGCCTGCCAGCGCTGCAGAGCAGGGACTGCTTCATCAGTCTCAGACCTCCCTGGGTGAGCACTGCACAGCACTTGCCATACCAGATACATCTAAGGATTTCTGTTTATATGATACTTGCAAAAAAATGGATGGAACCATCTCCACTGCTCATTTAGAGTTCTGAATCACTCAATAAGATTTAAAATAGTCAACAAGTACCGAGTGCTCATATATCTGGATGTCAAAAGGCATAATTTTAAGCAAGATGGCTCTAAGGACTGCCCACCAACCACCTGTTTCATTATCTTCCTTTGGGCCTTTGTCCATCCTGGGCAAAGCCTGCCTGCTGCTCAGAATGAGTCACCCCTCACACCAAGATGTGCCTTGATGGTATTGGGATTCTTTTGAGCTTAAAGGCACTTGAGACCCTGCAAGGCCAACAAAACTTTTATCTGTCCCTTAAAGAATATTTATAGGGCAGGGCAAAATTCTAATTACGTACTGAACATGCTCTTCTTACTGTCCTACAATGACCTTCCTTCCTTCTGAAATCCCAAGGTGATTCCTAGCTTAGAACATCATTATTACATCATTTTCCCTCTCTGTATTTGAACCTCTCATGTATGTAAATTCTCTGACTCTCTCATATATGTGGAGTTCCCATTCATATGTGTCACATTTGGTTATTTTTCTTGTTAATCTGTTCCACGTCTATTTGAAACTTAGACCAGCTGAAAGACCTTGGGGGTAGAGGAACGCTTCTTCCTCCCACAGTGCACTGAGGGGAAAGAGCCTGCTGGTCCTCTTCTGCCCAGGTTGGGCCAATTAGGCCAAGGAAGAGGCTGGGCAGACTGGCTGTGATTGTGCCTCACCTTCAGCAGCTTCCATGCAGAACCACACTCAAAGGGATAGTCTGGCCAGCATGGCTAGCACACAATGCATTGATTTCCATGCCTTTATACTGATTGGGCCAAAGGATACTTTGAAAAACAATCTTACCTAATAAAAGAGAATCATGCAAATTTACCATCACTCTGCTATGGCCACAGCCAATCAGAGTGAGTATGCAAATTAACCCAGCAAAGATGGAGGTTAATTTGCATATGTAGGTGCAGAGTGGAGTGAAGCCTGCTATGAGGGAAAGGGGGACGGCGGAGGGAGCTCCTGGAGTGGTGCTCGAGACAGAGAGAGGCATGCCAGCTCCAGGTGGCCTGGGAGCGGGAACTTGCTGAGAGGCCTATTTTTGCACGAATATTGTGCAATGAGCCTCTAGTATTCTATAATTCCCTGCTTCCTAATAATAATGATCATTTTAATTAGTTACTAATAGAACTCCTGTGGATTTATGGTTTCAGCAAATCAAGTTTTAATCTTCTGAAACATTTAATTGCTGACATTTGAAAGGCATTAGATTGTGGGTAACATTTTCTTGAAATGAGATTGGGTGAGGGCAGAGAAAGAAGTTGGGAAATTGCTTTTATCTTTTTTTACAGTGTTGCTTTTCTGAAATATAAAAAGCATACACTGCCAATGGAAAAGTTTACCCACCATCATTCTAGGGAAATGAGAATATATAGTTATCTTCAATCTACTTGTCAAAGGGGATATTCAGTAAACCTATCAGTTGTTAAGACACTCAAAGATAAAAAAGAAACAAAAACTTAGTAATATATGCTTAAAATGTCAAAGTATCCTATCTAATAAAAGAGCAATATGCAAATTAACCATCACTCTGCTACACCCACAAGTCACACCCACAAGCCAATCAGGAGCAAATATGCAAATAAACCCAACCAAGATGGCTATGGCCATAGAGAGCAGGAGGGAGGCTTGGGTTTCCCCTGCAATGGAGGAAGCCAAGCTTTCTGCCTACCCTTGCTGGCCTAGGCCTCCACTTAAGGCTACAAAGTTTCAATGATAGAAGATACATAAATCCAAACAGAAATGGTGGCAGCCATGGAGCTGGGAAGAGTAGGAGGCTAAGGTTGCCCTGGGTGATGGAGGAAGCCAAGCTTTCCACACACCCTGGCCGGCCCAGGCCTCACTTAAAGCTGCAAAATTTCAATTATAGAAGATACATAAATCCCAACAAAAATGGCTGTGGCCCAGAGCAAGCAGAAGGGTTGGTTCTGCTTCAGGCTATAAAGTTTCAATTGTAGAAGATAGATAAACCCCAGATACCAGGGCCTCCACTTGAGTTGCCAGGGGATGTGGCCAGCCTGCAAACTACCACAGGCCCCTTGCCCAGGCCACCCCATGCCCCAAGGGAACCCCACCCTGATGCAGGACATCCTTCAGGGAAAACCAGCTGGCCCCCACTCATGTACCAGGCCTCTATCCTATCTAATAAAAGAGAAATATGCAGATTGACCACCACTCCAACACACAAGATGGCTGCTCCATGTGGTCAAAGATCCTGCCCCCATGTGGACACAAGATGGCCACCACAAGATGGCCAGTAGGGAAGGGCAGTTGGGAGGGACCAGGCCTACAAGGGAGGGCAGCTGTGGGTGATAAGGCCAGCAGGGAAGGGCAGTTGGGAGAGACCAGGACTGCAGAGGAGGGCAGTTAGGGGTGACCAAGCCAGCAGAGGAGGGAAGTTGGGGGTGACCAGGCCTGCAGGGAAGAGCAGTTGGGAGGGACCCAGGTCTGCAGGGGAGAGCAATTGGGGGGGAACAAGGCCTGTAGTGGAGGACAGTTAGGGGCAAACAGGCTGGCTGGGGAGCAGTTAGGCATCAATCAAGACTGACAGGGGAGTGATTAGTGGGTGATCAGGCTGGCAGGCAGAAGCGGTTAGGGGCAATCAGAAAGTCAGGCAGGCAAGCAGTTGGGAGCCAGCATTCCTAGATTGTGAGAGGGATGTCTGACTGCCCATTTAGGCCCGTCCCACTGGGATTGGACATCCCTCGTGGGGTCCCAGATTGGAGAGGGTGTAGGCTGGACTGAGGGACACCCCCCTCCCCCACCCGTACACAAATTTCCTGCACTGGGCCTCTAGTATATTTATATCTGGAGAACTATCTAGGAGATGACTCATAAAGAAGCATAAGATATTTATTTTGAATATTTCTATTAATAACTAAAGAATTTTACTTCATCAAATACCATTTCTCCCACACGAGTGATTGTTTCTATCAATACATAAAATACACGAGTTTTCTGTTTTCATTGGGCACTTTATACCCTAGGATTAATCACCTGAAAATAGAGGTCCTTTTTCTCATCTGAAATTTTGTTGTGAACGTTGCAACAAATTTAAAGTCTACACAGCTTACTCTCAGTCTAAATTCTTATGAAATATCCATCACTTAAATGTTAAATGCCAATTTGTGAGAGGCAAAAAAATAGAAACTCCTTTTCTACCCAAATTTTTTTCTTCGAACATATCATGTCTTATTTCAAGGTTTAATTGTAAAAGAAATAAGAAATCAGCTGAAACCGGTTTGGCTCAGTGGTAGAGTGTCATCTGCAGACTGAAAGGTCCCAGGTTCGATTCTGGTCAGGGGCATGTACGTTGGTTGCGAGCACATCCCCAGTAGGGGGTGTGCAAGAGGCAGCTGGTTGATGTTTCTCTCTCATCGACGTTTCTAGCTCTCTATCTCTCTCCCTTCCTCTCTGTAAAAAATCAATAAAATATATTTTAAAAAAAAGAAAAAAAAAAGAAAAGAAAAAAAAAAAAGAAATCAGCAGGAGGGCGGCTGAGCTGTTTTTCAGCAGAGCCAAGATGGCAGAGCCCAGCCCAGTGCACCTACCTCCTGCCTCTCCACATCCATGTTCCAGATGACTATGCCACCATCACTGCCACATGAGATGAGCTGCCGTGTGTGCTGTGCATAGGAGAGGGCCTGGATTTTGTCACTGTGAAAAAAAACAGGAGTTAGCCTCCATGCAGAAGAGCAAGTGAAAGCCCAGAGGGAAGGAAGCTCAGTAGTCAGGGAATGAGCACACTTACTGCTGAGCCCCAAATGCAGACCTTAGAAATGGGCTGGAAGTGTCAATATGCCAACCGTGGGGAGGGTACTCAAGGCTTAAAAGTCAAAATGCTTATTTAAGATTCTGAGGCCAGCCAATCTTTGTTACATTTAAGGAGAAAGACTGATTGATTGTTAAATTGGCTGTAACATATTACTGGTTCTTTCCATAAGTGATTATATAAACAATTATGTGCATGTGTTCATGTTATACTTATTCAAGAGTCATGATTTTGTTTTTAAAAAGGTATATTTTATATAACCAAAATATATAAGGAACTCATACAACTTAACAAAAGAAGACAAACAATACATTAAAAATGGGCAAAAGACCAAAATAGACACTTCTTCAAAGTGGACATACAGCTGGCCAAGAGACACAGGAAAAAATGCTGAAAGTCACTGGTCATCAGAGAGATGCAAATTAAAACCACAATCAGGTATCACCTCACACCTGTCAGAATGACTACCATCAACAAGACAACAAACAAGTGCTGGTGAGTCTATGGAGTAAAGGGAACCCTAGCACACTGCTGGGGGGAATGCAGACTGATGCAGCCATTATGAAAATCAGTATGGCATTTCCTCAAAGAATTAAATATGGAACTGCCATCTGACCTAGTGATCCTACTTCTAGGAATGTATTATTTGAAAGACAAATCAGAAAGAATATATACACCCATATGCTCATAGTAGAACAATTTACAGTAGCTAAGATTTAGAAACAACCCAAGTGCCCATCAGCAGATGAGTGGATAAAAAAAGCTGTGGTACATTTACAACAGGGAATACTATGCAGCAGTAAAAGAGAAGGATCTCTTACCCTTTGAGAAAGTATGGAGGGACCTGGAGAGTATTATGCTAAGTGAAATAAGCCAGTCAGGGAAATACAAGTATTACATGATCTCACTCATATGTGGAACCTAATGAACAAAATAAACTAATGAACAAAATATATTCAGAGACATAGAAGCATAGAACAGACTGCAGAATCTCAGAGGGAAGGCAGGGGAAGGTGGATGGATGTGAAGTGATCAACCAGAATCTGTATGCATATATGCACAAACCATGGACACACACAACAGGGTGGTGAACACCCGGGAAGAGGAGCTGGCTAGAAGGGGCCAATGGGGGATAAATGGGACATATGTAATACTTTCAACAATAAATATTTAGTTTAAAAAAGGTATTTTTAAAAGTTTTGGAGGTTATCGATACAGATTTAACCCGACAAAGCCAGATACAGACTTAACCCGTGTTGTCTGGGGTGAGCAGCATGCTACAGTGGCTTTCGCAGGCAAGCCATTTCTTGGTCCCAGAATTAATCCTCAGCAGCATTAGACTCGAGCTACACTGATTCTATTTCTCTAGTTTTTATTCCCTCTTTACTGACTTCTGTTTATTTTTCTTTCTAGTGCATTCATGGCTGACAAATCATTCCCTCTTGGTGGCAGCCATGATGGAGAATTCAGTTTTATGGTCTAACAAGCTGATAACTAACAAAAAATTCTTGAGATATAATTTCTGTTGAGTGGGAGACAGCAGGGAATCTGAGTTCTTGGTCATTTTTGTTTGAATGTTGTTCTATTTTGAGCTCAAATCAATTAAGAATTCTGTGCCCTCGGAAAGAAGAGCAGCACTTTGAAATATGGACTGGTGATGTTTTGTGTTTACTTTTGACCGTGGCTGAAGCTGTAGAACAAAGCTATTAAGCTCTATGTGTTTGTGCCTACAATTCAGAAAAGTCTGTATCTTTTTAATCTCTATATATAAAAGCCTAAGTGACCACCCGACCATCCAGTAGTTATGATGTGCAATGACCGCTGGGAGCAGATGCTCAATGCACAGGCATGGAAACATGGAACAGACTGACAAATCTCAGAGGGAAGAGGGGAGGGTGGGAAGAGGTTAACCAAAGATCTTATATGCATACTAGAGGCCTGGTGCAGAGATTCATGCACCGATGGGGTCCCTTGGGATGGGGCCAAAACCGGATCTCTTTCCAACATCAGCCCCCCTGGGGTCCGGGATTACAAGAGGCGCAGGCCAGGCTGAGGGACCTCACCGATGCACGAATCTGTGCACCAGGCCTCTAGTTAATATATATTTTTATTTATTTCAGAGAGGAAGGAAGAGGAAGAGAGAGACAGAAACATCAATGATGACAGAGAATCATTGATTGGCTGCCTCCTACATGCCTCCTACTGGGGATTGAGCCCTCAACCTAGTTATGTGCCTTGACTGGGAACTGACCTCTTCATAGGTTGAAGCTCAACCACTGAGTCACACAAACGGGCAAGGCTTTTATCTTTTGTAGTATATGGAACATTTTCCTATTCCCAGAGCATATCAAGAAATTAGATTATAGCGCATTTTAAATTATAAAATGTGTTCTGTTTGGTTAATAAAGATAACAAGTACTTACAAATGGAATATTCCTAAATTTCAAGAAAATAAGAAAATTGAACCCATATAACTTTAAACTTACTGGATTTAAAAATAAATATTATTTTTCAGAAAATGTTATTTAACTTAATAAATATTTTAGAATCCAAGTTCACAAAATTAAGGTAACTCTTTGGCAAATGAGACTAGTATGATAAGTTTTAAACACAGCTGTCTTTCTCTGATTTATCAGTGTTAAGTATAATGTAACTGTACATTTTATTTTATTTGGGTTGATTTCTCCTAAATTTATTTTATTTTATTTTATTTTTTTAATATATATTTTATTGATTTTTTACAGAGAGGAAGGGAGAGAGATAGAGAGCTAGAAACGTCGATGAGAGAGAAACATCAACCAGCTGCCTCTTGCACACCCCCTACTGGGGATGTGTCTGCAACCAATGTACATGCCCTTGACCTGAATTGAACCTGGGACCTTTCAGTCCGCAGACCAAAGCTCTACCACTGAGCCAAACCGGCTTCGGCTGATTTCTCCTAAATTTATATAGGATAATGGGCCAAATAAGCTAATATTATGCTTGTATGTTTAAGATTATAAAAAAATATATACATTTATGTTCAATTAAATACAAAACTTTTCCTGATAAACTTTTTATATAAATAGCAATTACGTTTCATAGCATATCAACTTAGAGATAATTTAAATAACTTAAAAATATTTAAGTAACTTAAAAAAGACTAATAACTTGAGCTAACCATTTAATAATCTTTGGACACCAACCTAGTTAGATAATTTCCAAGTCAGAATACTGAAACTTTGATTACAAAGCATATTAAGTTTATATGTATTTGCTTCTTATTTTTCTAAGACATGCTACATGAGTCATGTCAATGAATGGACTCATTTTTGCCACTTTTTTATGAAAAGTGATGTGTTTGTCACAGTAGAAATTTGTTATATGTGTTTGTGAGCTTTTAAGTCTGCATGCAGATGTCTTATGAGTGTGGACTACTAAACCAAGAACTAGCAGAACAAGAACTAATTATAAAGGACTGAATGAACCAAAGTAGGAAATCTTACTATGTTTTCTGGAATACTGGAAAGGAGCTGGAAAATCTTAAAGATTTGTTCCTTTGCTTTATAAAATGCGAGATGCTATAAATAATTGCATTTGCTTGCAGTGTTACTATTTTAAGAGTTGAATGGGAAGAGTTATCAGATCAGAAGAAATGTTCAGTCTTCCTTAGGTTAGGTGAGTATAGGTAAAATGCTATTAATACTACACAAGTATTCTGAAATTGTGTATTTTATGGGAAAGTCCTGGAGATTTATGAATGCTCTCACTGCCTATTGTATGTTTTTACCTTCAGGGGAAATATTGACCAAAACTATCAGGGAATAGTTATGTAGGTATCGTAATAAAGAATTTTACTCTTCTCCATTATGAAAACTTCCAGAGAGAAATTAATTTTGTAGGCTACTTAATAGTTGTTATTGTCACAGTAAAAAAAATAAAAAACAAAAAAACCAACCATTACAGTTCTATAACCTATAGATAAACTCTGTATTAGTCTGATGCTTGCCTAAAGGCTTTGCTATGAGTGACAGGGCAGAAAGGGGACTCTCAGAGTTCTATGGAAAAGGACTATACATACCAGGTATTTAAAAAATATAATAATACCTGATAGTTTAAAATAGCTGACTTTTTTTTAATACTTTGCTGAAATAATTTTTAATATGTGCAAGTGGACTGAATAAGGATTTCCATATTCTTTTAAGTCTGCATGCAGATGTCTTCATGAGTGTGGACTACTAAACCAAGAACTAGCAGAACAAGAACTAATTATAAAGGCCTGAATGAACCAAAGTAGGAAATCTTACTATGTTTTCTGGAATACTGTTAATGTTTTAATGTTCCATTTTCTGAGTATGTAAGGATGCCTTTTTTTTTTTTAACTTTTTATGCTAGTTCTCACCTACAATTTATTAAACTCTGTTTTTAGAAGCTAAATGAAAACATTTAAAAATGTTATCCAGTTCTCGTGAACTCCCAGAATTAAAAACTGTTACTGAGTGTCCTTAATTTCCATGGCAATATAGTTATTTCATAGGTTCAGTTAGAATCTATCTGCAGGGTGTAATTGAGAAACCAAGCCCTTACTTAGAATATCATTAGAAAATGATGCTCATTGAATTAGATAGGACTGGCCACTTTAAGAACTAATGGAGCCACGCTTCCAAAGTTCTCCCAGGAAACTGGCCGGGACCTGGTTTCGCAGTGCCTTACAGGTGGTAAAAAAGCTACCAAGGCAAGCACTTAGCAACTGTGGGAAATCTCGAGGAATTCAACCAAGGTTATGCTTACAGTAAGTGAAAGAAATATGGTGTAGAGTTTCTTTGGTTTGATTTCCTAGCCTTGGGGTAGAAAAACCCAACCCAAGATTCCTTTTGAAAATTTCCAGAGAGAAATTAATTTTGTA